TGAATTTGACTTGAAATTTATTTTAGACTTGACATGTCAACCAGATTTACTGAAGTTTGTCATATAATACTCTGCCTAAGTATTATTGGAATTTCTTAGAAAGGAACAGTCTCTATTTTCATAATATTTGTGTTTGATTAGAAGTGCAGTATTGTGCAAAAGTAACACAAACGAACTTCGACGAATTTCCTGGCTTTTCGTAGCTTTTTGAGAGAAAATTGGCTCTTCTTATTACAGTGAAGTGTAGTCCATGTATTGTTGTAATGCATTGCAGAAATATTCGAAATCAGTCTCATCCACTCAAGAAACTATTCTATCGCTCCTTCCTGTTGAAACCTCAACGAATGTTTGATTGTTGATGTGATCTGGACAGCCAGGTGTTCGAGTCTCAGTACAAACGACCACGCAAATACTCTAGGCTGGTGGAACTTGAACTGGGCGCCATTTCTTATGATTAACCTTTTCATTCCCAATTTGTAGGCGAGACTCCGCGCGAGGAAGCGTGGCGTGTACAGTTCGCAACCATGGCAACGCATGGTATACCAATGCTTTGTAGACAATCTCTCATTCATTCATTAATCTCGTAGCACTCTGGTAGTTATTATGCCAAAAATATCAAGCTATACTAGGACCCGGATTGAGCTCCTGTATAACCAGGGCTTCCATCCAGCTGGAATATTTAAAACCCTGAAATTTAAGGGTTTAAGTGAGCCTTTCGGTCATCTCTCGCTTAATCAAGAAGCTGCGTCTTACTGGCTCCGTAGCAAATTTACCTCGCTCGGGGAGACCGAAAAAGCTGTCTAATGTAGGAAAAGCTCTCATAGACCAACAGATGCGTAGAAATGACGAGACGACGAGCGCGAAGATTCGAAAGAAGCTGGAAAAACAGCGGTGCGAAGACCGCGAAAGCAGCAAGGCTGGACTCTCTTACTTGCAAAGTAGGTTTTCGAATCTTCTTTCGCACTATCCAAACTTCCCGCGTTAATGACAGAATTCAAATTTTTCAAATTCGCTCAAAAAGCCTCGAATTGTCATTCGAAATTTCGCACGAAATTTCGTTGAAAGTTCGCGAGAACAAAAAACGAAATTCCCGCATTTCCCTTGCGTTACTTTTGCGCAATACTCTATAGTTGACAAGTTCAACCATTGTCTGAAATAATAAAATCAACTCTTCTTTAGGTGGTCATGGGAAAACATGATTTTCATTCACCAAATTGACATTTTCCCTTTGTATTTTATGTGATATTTAACAGCATGTATGACTGTATGAAAACCTTAAGGCGAATTACTCTTGAAAATGTAAAATGGTCATCTACTCTATATAGACAGAATTTATACAATTATAGAAATGAGATTAACCTGTGCCTGTGTTATTTATTGTATTTAAATAAAAATTGCTACTATTAAAAATAAATCAAACTTTTCTTATTTGAACACTAACTAGAAACCCATAGCTTATTGCCCTATAATGCCTGCTTTAGTTCCAGCTGATTTCCTATAAAGAGTCATTTGATGCTCATAGCTTGTGTGCTGTGCTATCAAATTGGCATTGGTCGGTACACGACTAAGGAACAAGGAGATATTCTTGAAAAAATTATTCCAATAAAGTATAAGATTAAAATTGAATGCGAAAAAGGAAAATGCAAAGGAAACTGTAATAAAAATTGGGCAAAGTCCATTAAATATGGGAGCTGTACTTTAAGTATTTGCTAAGCCTCCTAAGATCCTACTAGCGAGAGGTTGTAGACTAAATAAGAGAGAAGTTAATGTAAACATATTCACGAAAAAAGTGGTTCCAAGGAGTGCATGACTAATTTGGAGTGCAGAAAAGTAAAATGAGCAAACCGAAGTAAAAATAGTCCGCCTTATTGTAATAGCCGATAATCACCCGAGTCGGAAGCTCGTCACTCGGGCGTATCTCTGGCCGGTAGGATTTAGGCGCAACCCTCTAAAAAGGTCTATTAAACCGCAGTGTTAATCTTGGTGTCGGATGACACGATCGGTTGCACTGCAAATTATTACAACTGCTGATTGTGTTGCTGACACCTGAGGAATTCGATAATTCTCACTTGCTGTTGTTAAGGAACTTCTATCGAGTCTCGTTCAAAACATATTTTTCCTCTGATTTTCCTCAGTTGCTATCATGGCCATGATCTCAACACCAGTTTTGCAAGCAGCTTTTGGATGGCTTGTGAATAAATTCAGAGATACAGCAGTGGAAAAGTTTGGCAATATAACAGATCAACAATTTCGTAAAATCCTCATGAGTGAAATCGAAGCCATGAGCTCTAAGTTGGATGGATTATCAAGAAAAGATTTGCTGGCAAGTATCAGCTTCTTTAAAGAAGGAATCGAGTTGTTATATGAAGCATTTGACGAGACAAGGTCAAGGAGTGAGTTTGGCGCAGATACAGCACAAGCGGCTTGTGCGGAAGTTGTGCAGCTCACTGAAGGAATGCGAAACTTGGAGCTTACTGAAGCTGCCACAAGAAAGCTTTCTGGTGCAAAGAAGAGATTCGAACGAGCTCGTGAAAGAGCAACAGATGCCTTTTCTAATGAAGCGCTATCACCAAATGACCGCATCTTAGCAATGCAGTACCGAGTGATGGCAACAGTATTAGAGACAATTGACAATCCATCGGATGCTGTAGCACCGTGTAAAGTGTGTATTAAGGAGCTAAACGGTCTGCCAGTGGTTCAGCAAAGTTTTAAAGTACACTTCAAGACAGGATTCGGAGCCGTGTGGGGTTGGTTTTACCCAGAAGAACGAGTAAAAATCATTTCTGGCGTCTATCGCGTCAATCGTGTTGCCTACGATGTCTCACAAGCGATATGCAGCAGAGGGCTTCTATTTCTGGAATGGCCCAATGTAGATACAGGAGAGGAGAAAGTTAACTTACTGCATGATGGGAGAGTAGCTCTATTGCAACGTGAACAAGATTTGGAGTACTGTGATCTATCATGGACAATTGGTCAGGATGGTGAAAAGGAGCAAAGGATGAAAAATCTTCTAGATATCGCTACCAACTCAAGCGGGCAATATATTGTAGCCGACCATAAATTGACAATCAAGATGTTTGGCAATAGTGGCAAGCTTATGAAGTGTTTCAGACTTCCTCCTCTTATTGATGACAATAGAAGAAAACTATCGATTGATATCCATTGGGTTCAGCTGGCCACGGACATGAATGACAACATTTATGTCCTGGTTAGAGAATGTAGTCATAAGGACTCACACTGGATTTTTATGTTTAATAAAACGGCTGACCAGTATCACAGGTTTTGTTTCAGGACAATGAGCTCCGACTTTGACCTGTGTAAACTGTCAGTCAGTGATAGTGGTAAAGTGGTGGTAATGAAGGGTGACTGGAGAAAGAAACATTATATTGTGGATGTTTATGAGACTGATGGTCGCTTCGTTCGCAGTTTTGGAAAGCAAAATTTGCAGTGCCCACGAGACATCACCTCTGTAAGTGATGGCAGAGTTATGGTGGTGGACGAAATTCCTTCGCACTGTGTGCACATATTTAGCGAATGCGGTGACTATCTGAGCAAGTTTGATCTCAATGGGTTTCTGCACTTTCCAAAGATTGCATTTCACAGGGAAAGTCAACAAGTCGTCTTGGCTAGTACTGACGATGATAAGGAGCTCTCATGTTTTGAAATATACACCAAAGATGGTGAGTTTGTACGAAGCGTTTTTGTTTACAATATTGGCTATACCCTGAGTGCAATTGCAGTGAGCCTTGATGGACGCATTGCAGCTCTAGGAACTCCGTTTGTCAAGCAGTATAACGAACTTAGATATGACTTTACGAGATATGGATCGATTGTAGTATTATAGTAGTTTGGGGTAAGAGCGCAGTTTCGAAAAAACTGCGCTCTAACCACCCGACTACTACTCTACTGGAAGATATGCGTCATTTATATGTCACGCCATCATTTTTGTTTGTAATATATTGAAGGAGTGTGTCCGTTGCTACCATGTGACATTATCACATCATGGTTATAATATGGTGAAAATGTCTGATGTTTCATGTCACTGTGGTTATGATATATTGACATCATCTTATTGTTATTATTATACATTCAACTGGCTATCTCTTTTCTGATTGGCCAAAAGCGTAGAGTGAATTTTCGAAATCAGTGCCTGGGACGTCATCTAGCTGTAGATTATACAATAATCATGTTAAGGACACTCAAGGTCACGACTAATCATGTCATGTATGACCGCGAGGCATGATTTCTAAGGGTAACGGTATCAAGTTCGCGCGCTTTGTGTTACCTGCTGATTTGTATAATTTTACACGTTTAGAAATAATTTATCAGGTCTACTTACTGTCGTGACCTTTTTTGGGGGGTTATTACAAAGCCGAAGGCTTTGGCTGATAACCCCTACCTCGACCTTGATTAATCTGGATATGACAAAAGCCTCAGCCAATAATTGTTTATAATATAGCGTGTAATATATTAAAAATTATATTTTAGTTTATGAATAATTATTGTGATTATACAGATCCTTTCATTGATTACTCAGAATTAAAAGATGCTGTTTTCATTGATGGTAAAAATAATGTCAAAACAATTAATGAAGAAACTAAAGAAGAAGCAGCTAAATTATTTCAAGAAATATTAGATGAATTAAAAAGACCCAAACTTACGAAAAATACTGTAAATTTCTAACTTAAATACATACAATGAATTGGAGTGAAGAAATACATGGTTATAGAGATGAAGTTATCTGTCCATTTTGTAATGGACAGATTAAAGAAAGAGTCGTTAGGATTGTACCATGTTGTCCGGAAATGAAAAATAAAATAAAAATAAAAAATATGTCTGTATTAAAAATGTGGTCAAATCGATGGATATGAGCATGACAATAAATTTATTAATTTTCATGAAGATAGATATAGATTTTCAAGAAAGTCTGAATATTATAGAGAGTATTATGATATAAAAGTAATTCATGGTGTTACAAGGGAACATCAATTAACAGCAAAAAATCAAGAGAAGATATTTAAAATTTTTTAACTAATCGGTAAAACTATTCCCAAAATGCATGAAAAAGGAAGGAGAAGGATTAATACACATTATATGCTTAGAAAATACAGGAATGTTCATCATACTGTTATATTTGAATTGAATGATGTTCCCTTTAGAATTGGAAAACATTGCTGATACTCTAAGGTTTTTGTAGAAAAGAATACAATAAAACTCAAGGAAAGTCACTGTTTTAAATTCATTGCACCGGAAAGATAAACGAGTAGAGACTGGAAATAATTTGGCCTATCTATACACTGCAAGAGTCTTTCGTCACGCAGTAGATCGACCTCGTGATTATATGACCACATTGTTTTGTTTATTTGATCGTCCCAGTTGTTTTCTTAAATATAACCACTCCTAAAACTGTCTCGAAGCCCTCAAACTGTGCGAGAGACGGGATATAATTAAATTTAATTGAACTTGGAAAAGGCTATTAAATTAAAGGTAACCTTTTGGTTTAATGAACCTTTTTATTTCTTTATTATCAAACCTGTGAGGTGAACGTTTGAGCGAAAAAAGAAAAAAAAACTTCTCAAACAATCTTTAAAATGTCGGTGATTTCGACAGAGTTTTATCTCAAACGATTATCACTCGGTGACCCTAACAGGTCTACAAAGAAATCACCTTAAATTATTGTTGTTGTTGTTGTTGTTTTTTTTTTACGTATTACTTCGTCGCACTAAAGGCACAGGAATTAAACCTTGGCGAGTGAAAATCAGTGAACTGAATAAAGACTGAGTAATGTAGCAAGTTATTTAAGAGTTTCAGACAAAAACCGCACTTTCTCCATTCTTCCGCGTTGACATCTTTGATGGAGGCCTAGTCTAACGAGAAATACATGCAGAAACTTAGTTATGAGTTGCCCCCTCATTATTTCCTGTCATCTCTGACTTTGTTCGATAAAGACAAATCTTTCGTTACCCTTTTAAAACAATTCTGAGTTGATAAACGCCACGAAATACAAGAATGAATGGTCATTGTGATTTTTTTGAGTTGTTTATCAGTTTGAATTCATCTTGTGAGTCACGGCACAGCTATTGTCATCGTGTGAGTATTCACATATATTAAGTTTCTAATCGACGATCAGGTTTAAAACTGTTTATTTCTGTTGTGACATATCTATAGCTTCTGATGGACTGTTATCATTCTTGGACATGCATAAAAGCTGGTACTGATTTTGACCTGCTTCTTTGACTGTTTCGCCCCATTTGATTTGCCTCCTGATAAATTTTTGAATTCGTTGGTTCGTTCTCTTTGCAGTTGATGATGTTTGGGTAATATTCGAAGACAACTTCTTTAATCTCAAGGGTTACACGGCCCAGTTTTTAAGCCAAGTAGAAAGAGGAGACTAGAATGAATATGAAAATAAATTAAACTTTTAGATCTATGGAGCTTCAGTACACCTCTTAAGAATTTCAAGAGCTGCACAATGGACATAACGATAAGTTTTTTCCGGCAGTTTGGCCATGATTACCCAACTGTAGCAGAGCCACCAGTCATTCCCTTAATTTCTGAAATACCAACGCGTATAGCAAATATGAGAGTAGTGTGAAGATTGGTGATAAGTTGAAGGTGTAGCTCAGTAAATTTATTCCTCGAGTCTACAGAGCCTTGGTAGAGGTAAGAGGCGAGAGGTGATTATGACTTGGGCTTTATACAAAGGAGAACCCCTTCCGTCGGTGGAAAGTTTCAGTCGCAACGCAGTTTATGTTATAACGCAGAGACAAAACATATCATCTAAAGCAGTTGACCTCTTAATCGTTATCCAATCCCCGAGGTCAAAAATACTTTAAAAACATTTTTAACCTAACATAATTAATCTGATTGCTTCCTTCGTTATCGGTAATGTTCTCCAATCCCTGCCGGCGTTTGTATCTTCGCTTTTTCCTTGTTGAGGTTTCTGTTAATTGCTTCTGAATCTGAAACACCTGCCTAAGCTGCAAACGAACGGGATCGTGCAATGTAACTTTCTGACTTCAAAATAAAACGACCATTATTTCGGTTTTGAGGTCAAAAGTAGAACATCACGTGGGGTGGGACTGCAGATCGAGAAAAATTGGTCGACGACAGTGAACTGCAGATTGATGAAGTACGTTAAAATTGGAAATATATATTGAAGCATTTAAACATTTATGGGCTTTGAAACATATGAGTCACGTTGAGGTGCTCCTCCTCCTTCCTGAAAGAAAGAATAGCGTTCATAACCAAATGAGAGACTAGAAAATGATTAGATGCACTTAAGAACATATGCCTCGAAGAACTCACTTTGAAAGATAACTATTTTTTTTGGTGTTGGGTACAAGATAATTTTATCTTCAATTTAAATTGGACTCATGGAGATCAAAAACAAGTTTTATAGGAATTTAAGAGCTTTTGAAATAACTTATCGTATGGAACCAAGAGAATATAAACTGCTTATGATCTCTCGATGGAACAGTTTCGAATTAACACAAGAAACAAATCAATAATTAGATTAATGAAAAAATGAAAGCTTATTTCAAGAAAACAGAACCTGAACCTCACCAAACGAACAGGGAAATAATTTGCCGAGAACAGTACATGGAGAGGCTCTTT